TTCCACAAATCATGGTTTTAAAGGGCGATCAAGGCTGACCGCCTTGAGGCTGTGAGGTGGGCCTTCTAAGTGTCAGTAGGGCCATGTACACTTTTGGGTAATTCTCTATTTTGTATTTTAAGAAATAATATAGGGTATTACTTATTGCAAAAAATTCAGGAATTGAAGGCTTTAGACTATGTTTTACCTTGGAGTATTTATTTTAGTTTTTTTTGCAAACCAAACTGAGGCTCGCGTCTTGTTCCGCCTCCAGGATTACGCCTCAAGGCATTTTCTCCACCGCCTCATGGCTTTTTTTTGCCTTTCAAAACGTTGCCATGGTTTTAAAAGTCAGAAAAGGCGAACCGCCTTGAGGCGGCGAGGCAAAAAAGGACCTTGACTATACTTTGTCCCCAGATATTGGTTGTTGGTTCTCTTCAATTTAATCTCCTAAATGAGGGTGCAATAAACGATTATGGTAATTAAAAGGAATGACAATAAGTCAGAAAAATAATTAACTTGGATTCGGCACGACTTTTAGCATAGAGAAAAGGCTTGGGGTTTGGTTGAGAAAGGACTGTGTCATAGTTGTTAGAATTCACGATATGAATACAATTTTTAAGATATTAAATAAATACATATTGGTTTATCTTCCATTCTTTCTCATATTTGTGGGCTGGCATAAGCATTAAATTATAAGAACAACGCATAAGCTTGGCATGATACTTTTAGACAGTTAAAATGCTATATTAGTTCTTTTATTTGTTTATTGCATGAAACAACCTTTCTAGCAAGAGGTAAGATGAAGGATTCAACTTCTTAATTAAGCTTATCAAGAACTTTGAAGATAACATGCAGATTGTTTAATCGCTATTGTAGGTTGTTGTGGTGCCAGGCGATGGCCAAGCATACGAAGGCGAAATACGTGCTTTTGATTTTCACTACAATCTTGTTGCTATACGGTTCAAGGCAAATTCTCCACTCCGAAGTGCTAAATTGAGGCTTGTTGATGACTCAGTCAATATAAATCCTCAACACGGCCTTGGTGAAGAGACGGCGTTTCAACTTAAACGCCATTCGTCTTTGTTTAAGCTCTTTCCGGGTCAGGCTGTAATAGGCATTGGACGGTATTTTGCTGAGCCTTACGAACTCATGGCTGCTCCTGGTGAATTTAGGTTTAAAACAACTATTCATTCTTTCTGGCTATTTTAGTTATACATTCAAGGACGACATTGAACATGCATAAGTGGTAGATTCTCATTATAATTGGTTTTTGTTACTTTTGCAGTCTTGGCTGCTGTGATTATGATTGTAAAGAGCTTTTTCAAGCATTGTGCAGAATGACAAGTGTATGTCATTGTTTCTTGCTTTTTTTCCATCACCTTTGATGTATATTCATGTATCGATTGCTAAAGAGTAGCAAATGCCAATAAGTTTTGTTAGGGTGGTAGATCTGGCGAATAGTAGAATATGGTTTTATCTCTCTTGATGCGTGGGAGCTTTTGAGCTTCACATCTCTAACACATTCTTTCTGAACTTTATAATTCCATGTGGCCGCTTTTTGCTGCAACCCTGGTGGAGTGGGCTTCATGATTTCCTTATAAGAGATGATTGACGTAGTTATATTGTTAATTTCCCCACATGGGTAGCTTGTACTTAAAACAATTATTTCTTTGTATTGCAGTGCGGTGATGGGGGCCCACTTATCAATCAATCTGGAGAAGTCATTGGCATTGCATTTTATGATATTTTTCAGACTCCTTTTCTTCCAATAAACCTAGTTTGCAAGTGGTGGGAGCACTACAAAAGACATGGGTATGTGAAAAAAAAGAATGCATATCAATTCATGCTTTGGGTCGTGATCGATTAGGCAAACAAAGATAAGGCAATACATGCCTTGATTTGAGAGTACGAGAGCAAGAGATTTTGCATACTTTTGTTGTCTTTTAATTTGTTGCAAGAACAGAGAGAGTTGCATGTGATCTAACTTTATCTAATTTTTGACTGTCATATATTGGCATTAGTGATTAACAAGATGTTTGTATTTATTTTCCCAAGGGAACTTCGCCGGTCTTTTGTGGCAATGCAAGCCACTAATTTGTATGCTGCTGATCTTGAACTTGTGGATAGGATTATCCGGAAATTTCCAAGCATTTACAAAGGTGTTATTGTTGAACAGGTAGGTGTGTTTGTTGCATTGGTAGAGAACTCATATGTTGTTCTTTGGTTGCATGACTGGTATGTTTGGTGTGTAGGTCATTTCAGGGTCATCTTTATGTGTGGATGATGTCATAATTGAGTGTGCTGGGAGAGCTGTTCACAGTTTTTTAGAGGTAATTAAAAATTTTCATTGGATTTAAAAGTATGTGGTGAGGTGTGTGTAACCTTGACTCTCTTAGGTGAAGTGTGTTGGGTGACAATTCTGAGGTTTCCAATGTTTTGTTTTTCTCTTTGGGAAGTGTGGTACGGTGTTCTCTTGATCTAACTTCAGCTACAATAAATCAAACCCCTAAAACCCATTTTGTGTAGTCTCAGGTGCTCCTAATTTTAAATAAATAGTTGATCGTACTTGATCATGTAACCCCACCACCCGTTTTTTGTCCAAATTGGACGCAGTTATGTGAGATGATGTGGGACAATGTTGGAGATGCGGTGGATTTGGTAGTGGCACGGGCAGATCACGACACTCTTTTAAAGCTCAAGATGACGGTGACTGAGGCTACACCAGATAAGCTTAATCGGTGAGCCCCCGTTTAGTGTGTCGCTTTCTTAAACCACTCTCTCCTTTAAATTTAAAATGTTCTTTTTTCTTTTGTGTTTGTTTGTATTATTCCACTTGCACTGATGTTCAACTTTTCATCTTTTGTCCCATTTTATCATCAGTTGGCACCATTGGCGTAGGTAGCAGCACACAAGGGCGGAGCTTCTTTTTTTTATGTTACTCTAAGTTATTTGTATATGGAGATATATACTGCCTTTTTTTGTCATTACATAAGGCGTCTTCCATATTTTCAATGCTTCCCTACCCCCACCCAAAGCTGCAATCCTCGCTCTGCCATTGGTTTCATGATACCTGGAGCGCTAACTTATTTGTATCATGTGATATATGTATAATCTGTTTTTCTTTTTGTCATCACATTTGAAACTTTTTAAGAAATATTTATAGAAATACTCCCACATGTTTGTTATTTAAGGACTCAGTTTTATCCTGCAATAGTAGGGTCTCAAGAAAGTGTGTATGTAGACCTTACCTCTACCTGTAAGAAGTATATTTAGTTGATTGTCAATGAACCTGTGGTCCATTGTCACAACTATGACTTTCTTAAATGAGGTCATATGTTTAACTTCAGGGTGATAAGTTATATTCACATATCTTATACACTTTTAAGCATAATTTGGAAGAACTTTAAGTATCAATTGAATTTAATTTTTATGTTTTTTTAGTTTTTTGTTTTATTTTTGTAAGGTGGGTCTATGAGCAGTTTTATGTTTTTACAGATGTATTGATGATATTTGGACACAACAAAGTTGATTGTAAACACGAAAAATAAATTTGGAAGTTTGGGATCAAATAAAAAATGAGATTTGGAGAAAAGAACAGAGAAAATATGTAACAATGAGGAAGAGGATAGCAACTACTTATTTTGGGGATGCCTATTCTCCAAGCAACTGTACAGGAAAGTTATGGAGCCATTGGGATGTATAATCCAAGCGTCCAGCTTCCAAGACTATTGTGACAAGTTGAGCAAACATGGGGCTAGAAGGGTCTGGATAGCAGCTTGGGCGGCAATCTGCTACCCAATCTGGAAGGCTAGAAACACAAAATGGCATTAAAGGAGGGAAATGACGGTGGATGAGTGTGTATCCTATATTAAGTTTAATATACAATGTTTCATTAATACTACATCTGTCCCACTCTCTTTGTCCACTTTTGACTTTTGGAACTGTTTATCTAAGCACTTTGACTCATCAAATTCTTTCAATGTGTAAGCTTAAATATAGTCATGTGTGATCTTGTTTGATTTGTCTTAACATATAGATTATTAATATATAATTTCTATAATTTTTTAATATACAAATTACAAGATAAAATAGATTAAAGAAATGCATTGGATGTTGTGCCAAAAGATAAGTGGACAAAGAGAGTGGGACGGAGAGAGTAGTAAACTGAGAAAGAGTAGTGTGGTATCCTGTAAGTAGGTAGGTTTGAGATGAGAGCTTTACTGAGATTTGAATTACCTACTATTTGCGATGAGTTAATAAGATGTGATGTGGTTCAAAAAAAAAAGAGAAAATAAAAAGAAAAAAAAGCAGAGCTAAGATTCGAACTATTTATATGATACGGAGTAGTATTTAAAAGCATCTTTAAGTTCTTCAGGGCTCAGGCATGCCGTAGTCGTTTTAGCACATTTACAATATTAGATTGAAGGATAATGCTATGTTCACAAACTAAACTTACACAAAACTCACAATCTTTGCCACATCATCATATCATTTAATAAATAAAATAATAACAAATAAAATAACAAATCCCAACAAATAAATTACAGAGAAATACTGGTCACAGGCTCACAGCAGACTCCATTTCCATCTCACCAAAACTCCATTTCCGATCTCACCTCTCCTCCAAATCTCAACACACATAATTGCTCCCGATCTCAGCTTTCCACTATGTTCTCATCTTCAATTAGTTTTACTCTTAATTTTCGCCATCTCCCTTTCGGATTGCATGAGTTGATGAGCTAATTTTGAGGATCTTTCTCAAGTTTTATGGCAAACACAAGATGGAAACGGTATCAAATTTTGCTTCATCTTCAATAATTGGCCTTATCTATTCATCATCACAAATTGGTATTATCAATTTAGACAAATTGCGGTAATTGCTGTCTTTCTTTGAGATATTTATTTTTGTTGCCTATGCTAGTGATTTTTTTTGCTTGTTTATTTGGTGGGTTGTTAGTTGTACATTATTTTTTTCTGGTTTTTAAGTTTTATTGTTGATCTATTTCCCCAATTTCATTTTTCATGGAGTGCTAATGCTGCCAGAGTGCATCTCCCACTTACCTGAAACCAAATTTTTCATTTTTTAATGCTGCCACAGTGCATCTCTCACCAAATTTTTCATATTTCGCTGGTTTTTAAGTTTTTTTTGCTGGTTTTTAAGTTTTATTGTTGATTATTTAGTGAGCTGATTCAATTTCTTAAACAATCCATTATAATTGTCTCTTTTTTAGCAACCTAATAACACAAATCATTGCAAAATGACTAAGCTTGGTCATAGTCTCTTTTTTTATTTCTTTTTTGTTTGTCTGCTCACTCTCAACGATATGACTGTAAACCACCTGGGTGTTTGCTGAGAATTTTTTGTTTAGTTGCGAGAAAAAACTAGCGAATGACGCAAGTGTTTGTACATGAAATATGTCATTCTTAAAAGTTGTAAATTCCCTATCATTGTTTAATATACTTTGCCCAGAGAATGAATGAATGAAAGTTTGAAGGAAACAGAGAAGAAGTAATGTAGGAATGGAATGTCCAAAGGCTTTGTTTGATACCAGAACTTATACCAGAACTTTTTTGCCCATAATGTTGATTATTTAGTGAGCTGATTCAATTTCTTAAACAAGAAAACTAATTTCATTTCTATAGAATCTACAACACAACTCAATAAATAAAGGCTAGTGTAGCTCAATGGTCAGAGCCTGTGGTTAACCACAAGGGTAGAGGTTCAAATCCTCTTTCTAGCAACTTTTACACATTTTTAAACAATAAACTAGTAGGACACCATTGATAGAAATTCAATAATAGATTCTATTCAAGATATTGAAGGTAGAGATCTCAAGTATGAAGCTTCAGTCAGCATCTAGATTGATCTGGAGGCAGCGCAACACTATCATCAATTATACCAGCACTTCCAGCAAAGCCACTGAAATCAAAATGTGAACTTTTTTACATCAATGACTCGCAAGAAGCTAGGAACAACAATTGAATTATCTATTTATTAAAAATTACCTCAATGGAGGGGTTGTAAGAAGACTATTATAACTTGAATATTCTGCTGAACTAAACCACATGGACTGAGCGGGCTATAACACATAACAAATATGTAAATACTATAGATACAAATATGTGTGTGTGTGTAATAAACAAATGATAATACATGCAAAATTATGAAATCATAATAAAAAATGTCAACAACCTGTAAACATGTCGTTTCGATGTTAGAAACATATGAGGACTGGATGGTAGGAGCATAGGAGGGTTGTGCCGGTGGAAACCATGAGACTTGAGGTGGCTACACCATAAAATAACTTTCTTAAATAAATACTTTATATCTAATTTGATAACATATATAGGAGTAGTATAAAGGTAAAAGTATGTAATGAATATTTGTTGGCCTTGTGTGCATCAATTGTCCCGTGGCGGAGGCAATGTGTGCCAAGTCACAATCGAATGTCGTGGGCGCTTGCATGTTGAATGCACTATAAGGCTAGGGTATGCGCCTCTTCTAACACCAATTGGTTTTAGAAGAGTTGGTAGCGCCTGAGGTCCTACAAGTGGTATCAGAGCCAAGGTCACGAGTTCGATTCCCAGCGGGAGCAATTGCTGAGGGGGAGATTGTTGGCCTTGTGTGCATCAATTGTCCCGTGGCGGAGGCAATGTGTGCCAAGTCACAATCGAATGTCGTGGGCGCTTGCATGTTGAATGCACTATAAGGTTAGGGTATGCGCCTCTTCTAACACCAATTGGTTTTAGAAGAGTTGGTAGCGCCTGAGGTCCTAGAATATTGTCTTACATTCCACACTTGTGGCAGTGATAAATTTTGTGCACTGTTAACAGGCACTGAATATGTGCTTTGTAAATGAAAAGGGCCAGCATCTCCAGTACTTGAAGGAATGGACATATTCATAGTGGTGCTAATTCTCAAATCTTCTACCGGCTTTACAACCTACAAGATTAATGTAAATCAGGTAATACTAGTATGAATTTCATAACATAACAAAAAAATTTCACACCTCTCTTCTTTTATTTGGCTCAAACTGTTTGTCATGTTCCTTGTTTTTTTTTCCTTTTCTTTCCTCCAACTGTTTTTTCCAATCTAGATTGCAATCGTTTTTCACGCGGACGATTTTTCCTCTTGGTAACAGTCGGATCGAGGACAAAACCTGTGCTCTTTGATTTTTCCTTCGAAAATTGATTAGCATCATTGTGATCACTTCTGCCATTCACCTGATTCGAACAGTCTTCCATTCTATTTGCTACATATACCATGTTGAAACATCAACTTAATTATATAAAAAGTACATAAAGCAAAGCAACTAATTAAAGATTAAATAAGAGTTACACTATATAAAAATGTATTCTACCTTCATCATCTTTCTCTTCACAATAACCAATGTTATTTTTTAATATTTTCAACTCGTCCATCACTTTTTTAAACTTGGTTTCAGAGTCACCTACTAATTCAATGATTGCACTGAATGCTTGATGCATTTTATCACTCATTACCATCTCAGGGTTCTTACTCCAATCAATGTAATTGACTTTCACTTTAGTATGACCTCGTTTTTTGTCCTTCCTCCATCGGTCTAGGATATATTTTGCAGGAACATTATCAATTTTATTACGAAGCATAATGGCTAGTGCATGTCTACATATTATCCCTCTAAACTCGAATAAATGGCAGTTGCACTTGGCATCATTCAATTCCTTGTTAAAGGAGACATTAAACATTCGTTGTCTTCTTATTTTCCCAACCATGCAGTCTTCAATCACTTCATATTCTTGGAATAAGGTTTCTTCCCTTAAAATTGATACCTCACAGTATAATTTTGAAGCTTTCAACTCCTCTTGAAATTCCTGAAACTTAGGTGTTGTATATGCCACTTGGAATTGTTTCTCTATTCCAAAATGGGTTATACATGGAATAACCTTATTAGATGAATCAACTTCTGCTTTATTCTCTTTCTCCACTTTGTGGCGCAATGCATTCTCATACTGGTCAACAAACTGTTTAAGAGTAGTTTTTGAGTTGACATATCCATCAAAGAAGGCATTGATGCTTTCACTTCTTTGGGTAGTTGACATTCCAGCCCAAAATCGATCCTTAACATAAGGAGGAGCCCATTCCTTGCGTATACTGAATAACGAAAACAACCATTCATTTTCTTGTA